AGGTTCCAAAAAACGAAAACAAAACAAAGGAAATGAAAAAAAAAACAATCCCCCCCCTCAACCCCCATCAAGCTCCCGCTGAATCCAACACGGCCACACTGCTCGATGGTTTGAGTGCACTTACAAAAAGATAAAAGGCTTCAGCTGCCAACCGTACGGACTGACAGACACGAGGGGACAGGCAGCTCCCCCTCCCTGGGGCCTCCTTTTTCGTGACGTGACAAAGCTCAGCATACTCTTAATTATAATACACTTTTTTGCAATCATCTTAAATAAATATTTCCATAGAGGTTTCCTGTATGTATATATATACTTTTTAATATATATAATATATGAGAGAGTTCTCTTTTTTTTTTTTTCTTAAACCACTGTTAATGTATTTTTCCCTGCTTATCCAAAAAATGTTACAAAAGCCCTAAAATTGTGCAACAGTTAGAAAAAAGGGACAACAACCCAAAGAAGGAAGGAGCTGCTCCATACAGCCCCCTCCGCTGCCCCCTCTCCCACTCCCCATTGACCTGCAGGTGGGAAGGACATTCAGCTGAGGGACAGGGAGTTGGTGGGTGGCCTTGGGGGACGGACGGCAGAGGGGCCACCAGCCCCTCCTCTGATGTTCCCACAGCCTGTTCATGTCTGGGTTTCCCTGTCTGGTACAGATGGGCTGGGATCTGCACCTTTGGAAATGGGTAATGGTGAGGTCTCCACCCTGCTATCAGGAGGATGGTGTTTGCATCAAGAGGGTGGTGTACACCAGGAGATGCGTCTTGCAGTGGGGAAGAAGGGTTAGCCCAGCTCCTGGGATGATCAGAGGAGATGGTTATGGGATCTTCTGCTGATGGTCCTCGCCAGTGATCTCACTGTGGGCTGCATAGCGGATCATGAGCTCAAAGTGGGGGCAGATGTCTGGTGCTGCCTGCTACAACCTCTGGGGCTCCATGGAGGCATGGACTTGTGATGGGCAAAGGGAAGGGAGGCAGGTTCAGGGTCAGACAGGGGTTTGCTGCCTGGCAGATGGGGCATTTACTCAGAGTGCAGGGAAAAGACAGCTATCCCCGCTGTGCCTGGCCGGGGTAAGGAGCGGAGTGCCCACTTCTCCAGCAAAGAGCAGAGGCCCAGAAGTGGGCTCTTCTTCTTCCAGAGCAGACGCACCAGCAAGACCTGAGAAATTATGATGTTGCTGCTGGACCCTGTGCGACTCCCAAGCTCACTCGCAGGGCTGGGAGCCTGAGACCACCACAGCAAGTGCTTCCACTCGGATATCCCCTGTGGTCTGCGGCAGGTGGAAGAGATGATCAGTTTGGAGGACTTCTGAGTTTGGTTTGACCCTGACAGCCAGGCGACCAGGTGAGTTGGGCTCTATCTGTACTAGGAAATGAAATGTGCCCCAGCCTGATCTCCAGCCTTGAGGCTGATGGGGGCAGGAGGTCCATGGTGGTAAACTCCATCCCAACAAGGTGGCCTTGTCCATCTTGCTTATTGGGAACATGTCCTGGGCCTTGTCATTCCCAGAACCATAGTGGGATTGTTGGAGTGATGCCAGTTAGCATGTGCCAGGGATGGTGTCAATAACTTAAAAGTACAGATGTAATGGCAGCCTCCCTGGCTCTGCAAGCCAAAGGACAGTGGCAGTTGATGATTATTTTTTTAAGTTACTAAGTTTTCCTGCAAGTTTAGGAGAAATCAGGAAAAAGGAAGACAGAGACAGATGCTGTTCACCATGGCTTCTAAAAGAAAGAGCGGTGGTGTATCAGTGCTTGCTCAGAGATGCTCTGGGAATACAGGAACCTGCTCTGGAGAAGCAGGGTGAGGTGGGGAAGAGAAACCAGGCAGAACAGACCCCTAAAGTGCAGGTGCTTAATGCTGCCAGCGTGGGCAGGTTGGGAAGTTGGGTCTTCCTTGGTCAGGCTTCAGCTTGACTGGAAGACTAGAAAGGAGTTGAAACCCCAGACTCTGCTTCCCTTGGAAAGGATCAAGACCATTTTAGGTGCTGCAAGGACATCCAGCTGCCTCCAGAGGAACCTGTCCCTGGGGAAATGACCACAGGGGAGCCTCGAGGAGGAGAAATCACTCGCCAGAAGATACCTCAAAGCCTTCCTGGAAACCAAGATGTTCCTCCCTAGCAGTGACTGCCCAAAGTGGGCTCTCAGTGGAAGGAGGTTTTATCTACCCCAGAATCTCATCCGTCATCCCCAGCAAACCCCACCGCACCCCCTGTCCCCATCCTTTCTCCAGTAGCAGCTGCTGGAGCAGCTTCACCCTCACAGCCCACCCGAGGTCCACAGCTACGGGCAGCTCCAAAACCAGGCTGAAATCGCATCTGCCCTTCAGCCCCCACGCAGAGCCCTGCCGTAACCTCCTCCTTCCTCATCCAGCTCATACTGATTCCAAAAATCCTCCTGACACCCAGAGAGCCTGGGCATCAGGAGGAGGACGAGACACTCACCATGACTGGCTCCAGAGCCAGCTCTGGAGAGGGAGAGAGAGAACTGTGAAAGAGCCGAGTCCTTCCTTTAAAAATGAAAAAAAAAAACCTTCAGCACTATGTGACTACAGGAAGAAAAGCACATCTGTAAAAACACCCAAACTCTACTTTAAAAGCTAATCCTCTACCTGCATAGATTTCCCTGCTTTTGGACCATCTCTTGCAAGCCAACGCAGCTCCACGACCAAACAGCACAGGTCCACCATGGGCATGGGGACACACATCTGCACTCATGGCGAACCTGTGCAATTCGCCCCTAAAAGGTGTCTCTTACACACACATTGTCAGCAACCATCGCACCGCCGGCACAGCGGGACGCACAGAAACACCTCTCAGGGCCTGTTCACGCCCCAACAGTTTGGATTTCTACCCCTCTGTCCAGTGGGAAAATATTTTTGCAGTCTGCAAGGACGCGGCCGTGCATTCTGCGCGGCAGCCATCCCCACCTCGACAGAGAGCAAAGCGTTCAAAACCACAGAAAAGGCAAAATACACGCTCAGAATTTACATGGAGAAAACATTTTCCTTTTTTTTTTCTTTTTTTTTCCTTTTTTTTTTTTATGTCCAAAACAAGCGGGTTTTTTGTTCATTTCTTTGTTTTTCAACACACACACCATCTAGAAAGTTAAACGCCATGCAGATGAAGAGAGTGCAGCTAGAAAGTCCCCCGGGGCAGCAGCGCTGCAGGAGTCTCACGTCAACAAGCAAAGAGGTTCCAGTCGGAAAAAAGAGAATAAGAAACGGAAGAATTGCCAGAAAAATACCCACCCTCCGACCTCTACCTGACGGCAAACAGGTGAGACCAAAATTCCCCTTCCCGGCCATGTCTTCTGTCCTGAAAGCCACGTCCTGGTGGCTCCTCAAGAGCCACCGCCTGGGTTTGCCCTGCAGGAAGATCCGTAGGGTGCGGGAAGGTGCCCCAGGGAGTGGGGTGCTCCTGGAGACGGGTGCCCCCAGAGATGGGTGCCCCGGGGAGGCAGGTGCCTTCACCTGTCCAGTGCTGCGGGATGGGATGGGATGGGATGGGAGGGGATGGGATGGGATGAGCCGCCGCAGTGCGGGGTGTGGGCTGGCAGCCATGGGACCCCTGGTAGGAGCGTGGCGGTGGCGCAACCCCTCTCCAAATGTAAACACCACGGAAAAACAGCAACCCCTGAAATCCCCCCACCCTCCCTGCCCTAAACAGTTGAACGTTTCTAGTTATTACATAAAGATCCATTTCAGCAAATACTCAAAATCAAGTTACGAAATACACGGTAGGTTGGTTTTTTCTCCCTATAAAAAGGCATGCGCTCAAAGTAGAAGACAGCTAAAGGCTTGTTTGTTTTCTTCGAAGCATGATCAGATTCTGCAGAGTTTTGTTACTTTATAAAGCTTGCATTCCTCGTCATCGCTGGAAGGAGTCGCATGGGCAATGGAGGTTCGCGCCCCAAATAGGTCGCCAGCTCGGCCGCCCCCGTCCCGGCCCGGCAGCTGGGCGCATGGGGAGCGCCGGCAGCTGCATG